CTCTCTCTCTCTCCATCAACCCAACCTCTTTTCACCCTCTTTTCTTTTGCTCCGTCTCACAACGTCACACACAATCTTGGAGGATTTCCAGAGTAAACAAAACCAATTTAATTCCGTCTGAAAAATGGTCAGCAAGGATGTTGCTGGAATAGCATCAGCCTGATTGTGTCTTTGTGAGGACTTGCATGCACATGAGGTGTACGCTTTAAAACCATGGACCAATGCAAACAGTACATAAATGCAGGCTTTTGATGTGTGAGGAAAAAGCACAACTCAAAATGTATTTTAAGTTGAATATGGATCGGGCTGTCAGCTTTGCCAGCACCTCCTTTTTGAAAAACAAAGTCAACAGCAACCCAGCTATGATTTGGTTCAAACACACAGCGGCCAATCAGGAATCCCAAATTTCCTCGGAAAAGAACTGGCTTATCTTCAAAAACTGCAGCCAGCGAGCTTGGAATTGAACAAAATCCTCAACGATGTCCTTTTATTCTTGGTCCCAAACATCTCTTTTGTTCAGCCCCAATTCAGTCGTGATATGCTGCTGCATGAGCAGTTTTTCGATTACTTTTGATTTTGAAAAGGACGGCCCTGCTGTTGTAGTTATGTGGTGTCCAGCTATTACCAGGGGAAACTCGACTGCAGTGAATTAGAAAAAGAAATGTTTGTCAGCTAACTAACTTGAACAAAGCTAAGTTCCCTCAACACTGGCTCATGAAGTTTTTTCCGAAAATAACAAAATTGTGTTGCCTAAACCCAACTTTCATCAATGTAACGTCGTCCCAAAAACAAAAAAAAAGCTGTTCCGACTGACACGAAAAAAAACATACAATTCGTGTCTCTGCACACAAAAAACAAAAAACTTTGTTTTGTGACTATTTAACGAAGTGCTGTGAGACTGAGTTGAATATTCAGTGTCATTCCGGGCCGGCTCTTCGTGATGGTGCACGGGCCCTTTCAGGCCACGGTTGCCCAGCTGGCCTGTCTGCCGCTGAGATGAGGGACAAATGAAGAGTTTGTCACGGCCCACCGAGCAGCACACCTGAGAGGTCTCTCTCTCTCTCTCTCTCTGGCTGTCAATCCTTGTTTTTGAATGGGCAGCCTCGCCGGAGCTGTCTGGACCTTAGGGTGTTATTTATTTATTTTTTTTGTTCAATGGTACGCTTTGAAATGTATCTCCATACTGCGCCTATATACCGCCTTTGCTGTTCCTCTGGGCCTGTCACGGTAAATCCCAGATTGGTGGCTGACAACGTCTTTTCATTTTGCAAGAAGTGGAACTAGAAGTGGAGCAAGAAGTGGCGCCACTTGGAGGATCAACTGCCCACTTCAACTCTTATTCTGAACTCTCGGGGCCAGCGTTGCCACCTGCCTCTCAACCTTCTTTTGGACCCTTTAGCCATCTCAAAATTCCACTCATTCTGCCTTTATCAACAACTAAAGAGTTTTGTTTTTTGTCACTTCAGTCTTTCTGCGTGTTAATTAGTGACAGCGTTATGTTGCCTTTGGACAGAAACTGGCTAGCTGTTTCCTTCTGTTTCCATTTTGTGTCCCAAGCTAAGCTAACTGGGTGTTGGCTGTAGCTTCATGTATAACGTAGTAGTAGTAGTGCAATTCATTTCGTCACACTGTTAGTTTTGTCATGAGTACGTTCACGCAGATTGGGAAGATTCCGCGTCCGAGCTCTAGGATCCTGGTATTTGCTCCTCTGCCTGTGGAAATCTGTGCATTTATTGAAAAAAGTGTTGCACTGTCGCAAATTCGCATCGCTGCTGTATGAATATTTGTGATGCGAAATATTCACCGGCCGCAATTTTTGTGACGTTTATTTTGTCATGCCCCCCGGTGTGCAAAGGCCAAAGCGTTGACCTTTTCCTCTAAAGAGCTTTCAGTCACTTTAGAAGAACAGAAGTTAAGAAGAAGAAGTTCATTTGTTGACTTTCAATCATATGAAGTCCTTTTCATGTGTGGGCATACATTTGACTGTGATGCTAAGAGACTGCCATCAACAAACATTATGATCAGCTGTTTTTCCTTCATCTTAACATTTAATCTTTTTGAGAACCCGTCTGTGCTTGGTTCTCAATTACTGCGAGGCAGTATGGTGTGTATGATTGGCTAAGTGGGGAAACAAGAGCCTGGGTAATTGAAACAGCCTCGAATCAAAAATAATCAGCCATACAGCAAACAGATAGACTCGCATAGCTGAGTTGGCCTTCCACTTTTTCCACTTTTATGCTAAAAGCCAATTTAACAACACATCTCAGGTTCTCATGTGAGAGACAAGAAGTCTGTCTTTCCCCCAGATGTGAATTCTGCGCTCTCATGACTCCCAGGATGAGCTGTGACAGTGCATATGTTCACTCATGGCTGTGTCTGCATCTCAATCTCATCACACCGTTTTACCTTTGACAGCCAGAAGTGTGAGAGGAGGGACCGATCGAGGTGGCGAGGAATTCCTGCAACAACGCAAAGAAAAAGTCAAGAGCGCTCCGACGCGAAGACGAGGCTGATGAAACGAGTGATGAAACAGGTGAGGTTTTAATCAGGATCTCTTTATGCCCGCACTCCACGGGAATTCTTCACCTCATCAGCACTCTGTTGCCTCCCCGACTGGACAACGGGCAACCTCCCAGAGTGCCTTGCTGCGTGGCCTTTTCAATAATTTAGAGCGGGAGGGAAGGGAGGCAAAAGGAGGCGAAACGATTTCCTGGCGCTGTGGGAGACCCCTCTGTGACATTTATCTCTGGCATGGCCCTCAGTGTCTCTCTGTGTGTGTGTGTGTGTGTGTGTGTGTTTGTGTGCGTGCGTGTGGGTTTGATGGCCCTGCGCCAGACTAATGATACCCCCCTCTGGTATACACACTCAGAGGCACAAAACTCTCCTGCTAGTGATGCCACACATGTCCTTTTTGGAATCACACCGAAGGGAAAGAAGACGGTGGAGCGGTGGGGTCGATGATGGCAGAGAAGGATTGTAAAGCGTTTCAAAGATAAGTATGAGAGCAATAGTTCCATCTCAGTGTGGAGCCGAGGAACAATAGAAGGGTGGGAAGGAAAGTGAAGGGGAAAAAGTTCATGAATAGAGGAGACAGTTTTTGTCGGCAAGTGACGGAGAAAGAGCGAGAGCGATCGTCCTGTTTAATCCATCAGCTTCCACCTGTTACCATTTCATACTTCATTAACCGCACCCCCGTCGTTTGAGGCACTGGGTGGTCTCCACGGGGAGTCCCCTACGCCCCACCTGGACACATGGCATCTATCATTACACCCCCCCTGCTTTTAGCTCAGAGCCTGCAGAATGTCACACAGCTGGAGCGCGAGGCTCTGAAGACAGATGAAAAAGAAGACCCTGGCGAATGTCGTTAATAAGACAGAGCACACAATTTAGCTATAGAAGGGGTCATTGTAGCGCTACACAGACTAACTTCAGCCGAGGATACAAGAGCACTTTTACATGGAACGTAAAAGAAAACAATCTCACCTTAAGGTCCAATTAGTGGCTGTATCATTTCACACAATCTTCATCATCAGATGGAGTTCTCACAGTTAAATATATAGAACCAATAGATGTTCAACTTGCTGATGCTTTTTCAAAACATACCCTGCTTTATCGTCTATTTTCCTCTAAATTGTACCATAATTTACTAAATGAACATCATGCGGTACAGAAGAAGACTTTGAAACAGCGAGTGAGACCATATAGTGCTTACAGGGGTAATAGATCAAGTTAGTATCGGGTCATTTTCTCTTAGACTTCTTTACAATCAGACTTATTTTTGTAAACAGAGGAGGCGCCCCCTGATGGCCATTAGAAAGAATGCAAGTTTAAAGCACTGCAGACCTTTTCAGACCTGGAGTTTTCCGCCTGGGCACAGCGCTTATGCAGCTTAAAATAAAAACAGATGTATCTAGCAAGCTAATTAAGCTAGCATTAGCTCCATGATTTTGTTGGAAGCACTATGTTACTACTAATTGCTATCTTCCAGTCCCATGACTCGGAAAAAAATCCATGTGATGGTAATGTGCTATGTTTGAAAACTGCAGTATGTCAACTAAATGGACCTCATGGAACAACAGGAACATTTTTAGAGTTTGCACACATAAACATACAGAGGATTTGTTTGCATATTGACATTTGTTTTTATTTTAAAGGCATAATAATATTCAAAGGAGACACAAATCATGTATGTATCATTCGTTCATGTTTTTCCAACTAATATCCAAACCATAAATGCACTTTTATTATGCTGAGAAACAAGCCTTCGTTATCCAATCAGTAACCATCAACCGACACTGTCAAGTCTTAAAGATGACTCCGAGTCAGGGAGCTAAAATGAGGTCGCAGCTCAGTGTCAGCGTTTGTTTACACAGAGAGGAGATGGCTGACTGGTCGGGTAAATCACCTACCCGTCTGTGGAGACTAAAGTACAAACTAAAGTAAGGATGCTGCCAAAGAATTCAGAGTTTAAACATAAAAATAACCTGAGAAAACACATAAGTTTCAAAATGTACCCACACGTATACTGTAGGCTGACATTCTCAGTGTGTATTTAGGTATCAGTTTAAGTATCTTAATATCACTACATTTATATAGAAAAAAATAGTAAATAACTGACTTTATGCTTAAAAATGCTTAGAAATATTCCCCACACTGCTGGTTCCGAGCCTAGGGTTTAGAGCCCTTCAAGGGGTCACAAGAAAAATGTAAGGGTCATGAGATAATGTATAGGAGAGGGAAGCATTTGCGGTACAAAATTATATATATTTTTCCCCCCGTATATTTTCACTGGATAACATTAAGTCTTCAGGGTCCTAAAATATTACTGTTTTGACTCGTAGACATAATCGACTCTGGAAGACACCACGTAATCTCACAGTCCAATGCTGACCCCATGTGGATCAAACTAAATACTGCCACCAAACTCATTTGGCAGGCACACAGGCTCCGACTAAAAGCAACAATTAAAAATCAGTGTGACTTCTACTTTTTAAGCTTCCTCATGTCAGTGAGCCCTGCCTGGTGGCTGCGGCCTGTCGCAGCAGCAGCTCTCTGGCCAGGTCCGGCCTGCCGCTCTTGGCCAAGCAGTGGGCCAGCTGAGAGGCCTTGGGTTGGTGTGTGACAGCGGGCAGCCCCCTCCTCCACATGGTCAGCACGTGGAAGGCCTGCGTGGACAGGCTGTCCCCAGCCCGGAGCTTCACCAGCTGAGCGGCGCTTCGCCGGAGACGCAGGGAGAGCACCAGAAGTGCTACGTCCTCCTCTGAAAGCTCCCCGGACAGCCAGAGAAGAAGAGAGTCTGGCAGGGAATCTGGGGATTGGGAATCTATTGAAATGTATAGATGTAATCAGAAATATATACAATATTTCCTTCTGATATGTAGTGGAGTGGAAGTACAAAGTCATTTACTCAAATCAAGCGCAAGTCCATGAAAACATGTCACCCACCTGTCTCCTCGCATAACTTCACCCTCACTGTGATGGGCCGATTAATGGTCCTCACTCTCTGAGATGAAACGGAATAAAATGTTAGAATGTGCTTTTATTGCGACGGTCAACGTTGTACTGTAATACCAAATATGACATAGAGTTCCTTGTGAGTGTTTATGCACCTTAGGTAAAGTCAGAGACAGCTTACAGACGGGGTCTCCCAAAAGCTTTGCGTCCATCGGGACCGGTCCGTCACCTCGCCACTCCAGCTGACCTCTGGCGGCCTTATAAAACACGGCTGTGCCCTTGTAGTGGGGCGAGCTGTAGTTCCCGAACGGGTCCACTTCAGTCAGACGCACCAAGAGGTGATTCTTCTGCTGATTGTGGAAGGGGATCCGCTCGTGTGGGTCGTTTTGAGAACGTGCTGTAAAACACGGACGTTCAAGATCTTGTCACTTCTTCCACCAACTGATCCAAAACCAGCCAGTGTGTGCCAGTGTAAAGGAAGACGTCAGAGCAGACACACCTGAGATCATGTACATACATTCCGCTGGTTGCCTGTGAACAATTATAATTAATTCAGTGTGTGGCATCCAGTTATGTGGTAACGAGCAGCAGGAAGACAAACCTGTTCAGACCGGGGGTTAGCTATGTGTAACCTTTTGACTTCCCCAGCAACAGCAACAACTGTTTTACTACTTATGTAGCTCGCAGCTACCTTTTAGTTTAGTACCTTTAATTCGCCGCATGGTTGTGCGTTGGTGCGGGACTTAACTGAACAACGGTTAATGCCTTTGTTTCCCCCCCCTCACGGCAAAAGTGAACTGCAGTCAACGAGGTAAAGCCTGTGAGCGCCAGCTGCCGACGACATGCTCGACTCAGTCTGCAGAGACCAAAAGCCCGGCCTCTGCACACTTTCCCCCCCACATTTCTTGTACATCGATCATTCTTTTTTCAAGTCACCCTACCTGTGGAGGTGATGTTGCCGCTGAAACGGAGGAGAAGCTGGTCTCCCTCACACATGGAGATCTCTGACGTGGTCTCGGAGAGGCCGCTGTAGCCCTGGGCTCGCAGTTTGGACAGCTCCCAGTCGAGCTCTCTGCTGGGCAGGGCAGCCGCCAGGACGGCGTGAGGCTCGTCTCGCCTGCGCTGGAGGACAACTGTAACCACGTGGCAGCAGACCGACTCCTCCAGTTCCTCCGCCAGGGAGGCGAGACGACAAGGCCGCAGCGGAGAGAGGAGACGAACCACCAGCAGTCTGAGAGGTATAGACAGTCAGAGACGGGAGGAACGGTAAGACGTTGAGCTCAGCGGAGAGATTAGATTGTTGCTGAATAGAGGGAGGAGATGAGTCTGTTATCGTGGGCTTGAATACAGACTTAATATACTTAAGTTGAAATAAAGAATTCATATTACCTACTGCACATGTATTATTCCCTGGGGAAGCTGTTTTAGATAAGAAAGAGAACTAAAGCACATAATAATGACACTCCTTATTAAAGGAATAGTTCACAATTTAAACTAGGTCTAATATATTCACAATTCAATCTTTTTGAAGCGGGACTAAAAACAGAGAGGCAATCCTATACCTTTTATTTTTTTATTATCTATGACTTCTATGACATTTGTACCATGTCTTTGGGTTCTGACATAGAAATGCTAAAGCCAATAATTGTTTGTTTAGTGCTTTTCTCTTATTCCAAGCATGTGTTAATTGTGACTGCAGATGAAACTTAAACTAGGGTTATGATTTTCTCTTTGTTGGATATTGTACACGGTCCCTAACTTTTAAAAAGACTGTATGAATGATGCTGTGAAATGTTTATAGGTTATGGCTTTTTATTTAGTTTGAGGTAAATGATGGCATTTCCTCAGTGGCATTTTTGCCACAAACCTACCACATAAAGGAAATAACAATACTGCCAGTTGTACTGAAACCAAGTGGTTCCAACCTCAATGTAGAAGTTTCCACCACAGCTACTTGTTTTTTCTCTCTCTCTCTCTCTCTCTCTCTCTCACTCACTCACTCACTCACTCACACACTACAATTCTCATAAACAAATAACATTCACTTGTCTTTTGGCAGAATTTTTGTCTTCGTCTTCGTCAAATATTGTTAACTGGCCTCTATTTGTGATCCAGTTTCAGCATCCTCCTTCATATGACAACAACAACACTCAGGAACTCGTCATTTCAAGGTTTTAGGCTGCGTCTTGGCGAGAAGGTACACAATCAGACGGAAAGAGGTTTTACTTTCATTTCAAATATGCTGGGGTGCCTGAGAGTGTTTCCTGTTCTGTGGTCGGATGCAGGATTTATTACGTCCTCATTTGTGGTGCGAGCACCATTTTTACACTGCGTATAGGGAACAACAGCAGCGGGCTGAAAACCTACAACCCTTCAGATCAACTTCAACGGTTGATGAACTTTAGCAGCAAGGCACAGGCACGAGGAGATGTGGTAAGAGACTAACAGTCTGGCATCACAACACAACTCGTGTACTCTGGGCCTGTCTGCGCTGTCTGTAGTCCTTCTATGGATGTTTCTGCCTCATATTGCAGTTTGTGCCGTGATCTTTTTCGGTTGGACGGTACGACAACCTCTCCACTGAAATTCATCCAGGCTTTCATTTCAATATTTCTGCAAAAAGCTTCTTTTTGTGCAGCTTCCAACTGGCTCCAGAGCACTGCAACAAGGCTTCTAACGAGATAAGAAAACAATATTACCTTTTATCTGGCCTCCTTGCAGCTGCTCCTTGTCAGTTTCAGAATTAAATCTACCTTTCTAATATTTCCATAAAATGCTTGGTTCCCTTGGCCCTAAATATTAGCTGTATATCTGAGCTCCTGTTGCCATAAAACTGTTGTAAAAACCTGACGTACATCCCCCATAATCCACTTTGCTCATTTCGATTTCCTGGAAACGACTTCGACACTCTTTTCCTCATTTTCTTTTAAGTGAATATAATCTCTTATTTTATTCTTTGTGTGTTAGTGGGCTGGTATTGTACTGTGTGCATCTTTCTTGAATTATGTATTTCTCTTTAGCTCCATTGCAGCAGTCCTGTAAATCCCTTTGATAAACTGTGTTGCATTTAAATGACTCTTTAAATAGTGTTGCTATAGATTATATGTTCTCAGCAACCAATTCAATTTGCATGAACTTAAAAGAAGGAAACATTATTTTTGCAAACCTGTCAAAGTTCTCTGTCAGCTCAAAGGACACCAGTCCGTTTAGCTGGTTCCTGACTGTGACTTTGTCCAGGACGCTCCACTGTTTGTCTCTTGAACCCAGAACAATCAGCAGCTCGTTGGACGTCTCCCTAGACTTCACTGAGGCACCCAGGACTCTAACAGAAACATTCAAAACAAAATATAATACATCAGGGTGGTGCTTTGATGTTAAATCCTTAACATACTAATGTTAACCATGTTCCCCATCCTAGGTTAGGGCATTAACATGCACCTTGATATCTAGAAATATTGGACAAATATGAAGAGGCCTCACTTTACTCGCCTCCTTCTGTGGGAAGCAGATTGATCCCACGGTGAAGAAGCACTAACAGGCCGAGTTTGGTGGTCTTCCTCCTCCTCTTGTCCCCTTGTGTGCTTCTTCTTTTCAGGGTTTGGGGGACAGGGTAGGGTGAGACTGAGGGGTCTTCTCAGGGGCTGAGAGGACGGGTGGGTGAGGTAGAGCAGCGGACTCGTAGACACCACCGAGTGATAAGCATCACTTCTGGCCTTGACGGCCGCCAGAAGAACGGCATCTACCGGCTGGATCTGAGGCAGATGAGGTAACAGCTGTTGTGCATTATTCACGCAGCAGTTTGGACAGAGATGCTGTGTGATATGAAAATTGTTTTTTTGTTCCCTGCAATTTTGTTTTGCCGACAGCACGCTGTATTATCAAAGAGCCGTGTAGAGGGAGAGCTGTTGGTTTTTGACTGGAGATCAAGCAACAAACTGGAGTTAGTTTACGGCAGAAGTCAATTTACATATTGGACACAGCTGTTCATTCTTCCACCTCACAGCAAACATCTGCGAATTATAAGCAGTATATCGGTTTCTCTTGACAATCCTCTGTTTTTATCTCCTAAATTTCAATATTTTTAGCATTTTTTATTTCAAAGGCTTGCACTCGGAAATGTTTTTACCCACTTCTCAGTCCCGAACAGCCCGCAGTACATTATTTATCAGTTGAGTAAAAGTATAAAGTCGGAGACAGATGGATAGGGATCAAATCATTATCTCCATACCGTGGTTTGTGCCATCACTGGAGCAGTGAAGGACCCCGGGAGGTAGTTCAGACAGATTCGGTGGTCCATGGGTAGCTTGAGTGACAAACCCTTTGTGGGAACTGTGTAATTTTCTTTTTTTAAACAGGAAACCACTGCGAACAGGCCCAGGGAGTACACCCTCACCTCTGCAAATGAGCCCTGACAACAGACAACAGACAAAGTATTTGAATTATTTATAAACCTGAAAAATAATATTCTGGCTTAAGGTCAAGACACGGTACAAGCACAGTGCTGTCAGCTGTTATTGCGTCAATCAATTGTGCAACATTGCACAGCTGTATTTGCCTTTTGCCTCAGTTGAACAAAAAGATCTTTACAGTGATGAAAGCAACAAAGATGTACAAGGTTGGTTTAGAAAAAGATCTCTCAGACAGAACACTCAGTGTCTCTGTTGATAATTGTAAATTCAAAGTCCTAAGATCACAAAAGGTGCACCACAAGGCTCTATATTAGCACCTTTTCTGTTTTTATTCTTTTACAAACCATAAAGGAAGACACTTCCACCCAGATGTGTTTGAATCCAGATAACAGAATTATCTCTACAGTTTGCACCTGTCTAAATCAAGCTGTTCGTTGCCTTCAAGATGCCTTTCACAAACTGCAGTTATATCATTTTATCAATTAAAAGCCTCATAGCCACTCTGTATAAAATGTGGAATGTTTTGTGCTTACAAATATGCAAATACTATATAATAAATGAATAGATATAACTAACGTTTTCAGCATGTCTGACAGTAAAATAATAGTTAGTGTCTTTAAAACATGCAGCAAGTAAAAGAGAACTTCACCCTCTGCCCTCCATACGTGCCCTCTGTGGTTACAGGACTGACGTAGCTTGCCCGCCTCTCCCCATCAACTATCTTCACAGCAACATCCCTGTAGTTGCCGCGATAACGTGCGCAGAAAGGCACAGCCATCGTCACAGGGAAGCGGATGTTAGCTCCGTCCCGAGCTTTGACCCTGATCACTCTGCTGACCAATTCCTCCGAGCCGGTCACCATCAGGCAGCTCAGGGTGTCGGCCACCTCGCATCTCAGGACTCCGGCCACACCCGTGGGTGCTCTGATGAAGCACGTGTCTGGTACATCTGAATAACTGTCCTCCTGTTCACCACTGGGGCTAGAAATCATGTTCAAATAGAGACATTCACACACATACAAAGCTTGTGATGTACTGATGATATTTTGATGTACAAACTGAAAGATTCTGCTCTGAAGAACAGCTTTAAATCATAAGTATTCAGCTTTGCTTTAATGTTTGTACTGGTAGTATAAGCAGTAGAATTTGGAGTAGAAATATTGTCCTCTTTAAGCTACATTTCTGGCAAAAAAATGCAACCATCTGAAATAATTCTGAAATGCTGGAGTACGCACTTTTACATATCAGCTTCTCCCAGACTCGGCCTCTCCCTCTGATCTGAATTTACCCTGATTGGTTTGGCTTTTGGACAAATCTGGGCACTGACCTGACAGTAGCCGGCTATGAGGAGGCCAGGTGGCCAAAACATGTGCACCTTGTGATGAACCACTGCAGAGAGTTCGCTTCTGTATCAGTGAGCAGGGGGAAATGAGCGGAAGCAATGGAATCATGTCCAGACTCACAAGCTGGCCCCCGTGCGGGATGAAGAGCATGGATGCTGGACGGAACTAGTCTAAATTACAGTGGAGTTCATTCAAGTTTTCAAAGACAAAATGAAACACATCTAGAATAATTATGATGGAATTATGATGATTTTTAGGTTTGAATATTGAAGAGCTGGAGCAAGCTGATACAGAATATAATAATGTCTAACAGTGTGGACAACGTACCCTGGAGCTAAAACTCAACTTACCCTACTGTGATCCATTCCTTGTTTACTCTATTTGTGTCCTGTTCTGCCTCCTCTAGGAAAGGACTCTCTGGAGAAACACAGTCCTTAATCTCACTCCCTTGGCTTTTGACCAATATCTCTTTCTCTTCCTCTTCCACATCATTGCAGACAGAACTGCTGAATCCTGTGTCTGATGCTTGTTCAGTGCCTGGCGATGGCATTGTGTGACTTTGATCATCTCCATCTCCATCTCCATCAGCCTGTTTATGCCCAGAGTCAGATTCAAGGGGGTCGTAGGAGTTCAGGTGATTCTTGTCATCTTCGGGTTGCTCTGGTGCTTTTGGATCTCTGGTCTCCTGGAGCGCTGCAGCCACAGCTGAGGCCTCCTCTGCACATAATCTGAGGATTTCTTCATCCAGTTTGGCTACGATTGCGTTGAGTTGGACCATAATGTTCTCTATGTTGTCCCCGACACTCAGAAAAGTATCACCGAAGGAGTCTGAACAAGGTGTGACGTTACATTCTGTATTTGTAAGAAAACAGACGTAAAGAACACAGCACACAACACCACAACATAATAAAACGGTTGCTTCTGAGAGCCAATTTCAGATTCTTAAACTAATCTGTAAAAACTATGAACAATATTACATTGTGTGGACTACTGCACAATTGCTGATCCACAAAAGTATTGTTGAATTTGTACTCTAATAAACTATTTCTAAGCAATTAAGTCAAATGCTGTGGTAGTTTGTATATGTATACAATGTTTAGAGGGCCTTTTCCAGCTTAAAATCCTTTCGGATGATTATTTTTAATAACTGCATTCACACGGACGCTTCAACTGACTTCAGCTGATTGAAATCCCTCTGACACCTGAACTCCTTACAGTACTCCATCAGGAACGCACTCCTTGTCATGCTTACATTTAAACTCCACTTCGACATGAACTACTTTCAGTATTTCAACTTTAACTGACACCTCCACACCCTCTACCTTCACCTGAACTGACACTCATGCTCCTTTCAACAACTTCAGTTGAAGTGACACTTCATCCACTTTCAGCACATTCACTTAAATTGACTTCAGCAGTTTCAGCGACGCTTCAAATTCCACTCGTACCTGAACTTCTTAAAATCCTTCAACCAGCACCTAATCCCGCTTTCATACATTTCAATTTCAACTGACACTTCAACTCCCTGTCCTGCTTACAAGAGACTGACACATGTACCCTTCAAACAGGTTTTAAATTGCTTAAAATCATTCAAGGTCCATCTCCTCAACTGATGCTCAACTCATTTCAGCAATCTTTATTTACTGACTCTTCAACGGCTTCCAGCGTGATGGTTCAAATGCAACTCCTCTTCAACAGTCCTTCAAAGGTGACCAACACTTAAAGGGCTGTGGTTTCCACTTCAACTGACGGCTTTTTCCTCATGCTTACATGTCATCTTTAAGTGACACTTCTTTCACTTCTTTGTCTTCTCGAAAAAGCCTGAGAAAGACATGCTTCAGTCAGATCTGTTCACATACCTGTTGTGGGCGGATGTTGCTGATCACTGCCCCCTGGTGGAGACCTGTGGGCCCATTCTCTGAGCGCTCCTCTCCATGCTGTCACTCTGTCTGAATGCAAAACACTCAGCTCCCTCAACACTCCCAGAACTCTCCGCTTGCTCTCTCTCTCCTCCCGCTCTTCATCAGCATTTCCACTTCCCTCTTCGATGTCGTCCTCGTCTTCTTCAGGACTGAGCATCCCTTCTTCACTGCCTCTCCGTCTTTCCTCTCCTCCTCCTCCTCCTCCTCCTCCACTACCTGGTTCTTCTCCTGTGCACCTCTTCCCACCCACGGTCCCATTGAGATGATCTCTGCAGCGTCTGACAGCTTCAAGCCTCCGAAGAGTTTCAGTCAACATGCCGAGGAGGCTGTGTTCACTCCTCTTGCCATGAGGAGACTTGGCCACATCCATCAGTTTATTCGCATACAGATTTGCATCCATGCTGAGCTGAAAAACACAACAGATTAGGGTTCAAAATAATATAATAGGGCCTGTTTTGTGCCTCTTTTTCAGTCCGTGTTGCACATGGCAAAAGCAATTCACTCCTTCAACAAAATGATGGGGAATAATATCAAATATTCACGAAGAATACATTGCATTCCCTTGTGTGCCTCGTTTTGTATTTGAAGCTGAAGCTCCCTTGTTCACTGTTTTCCTTGGCATTGAGTGCTGCCTTGTAGAGCTTTCCTAGTTTACAGGAGCCAATGCTGTATTTATATGGCTGCCAGTAGTAAAACATGTTGCCATGCGACCCCTGGAGGCGTGACTGGGAGAGACAAAAGAGGAGCCACAGAGCAAAGGACTCACAGGAAGACAGAGTGCTGTCCTCCAGACATTTCATCACTCTCTCTTCTATTCTTCTGTCACTCATTTCACTGCTCGTATATGTCCAGGCCAGTAAAAGACATCAGCTCCTTGAATTCAACCCTGAATCATTGAACAAAAAATGTTTCATATAGCTTTCATTTTCAAAAGCAGAGATGCAATTTGTTTTAAAAGCATGCATTTTGAGGTCGTATACTTGCATGCTGGCTCTAGACAACACAAACACTGTGGGGAGCGTCATTTTGTGGGTTTCCTGTGGAACTGCTGGTGTTAGAATCGAAAGACATCTGTGGTGGAAGACCTATTCCGATCCATACCATAGAAATACCGTCGTCTACAGATATGTCACTTAAGTAAAAATAAAAAATAAATCTATTACCAGCAAATTGTATTTATCGTTAGTAAGCTCACTATGCAGAAAGTAACATTCCTTTCAAGGTGCTAATTGATGAAATGTACATCCCCCAAGAAAATAAAAAAAGGAATTATTCTTCTATTCTTAATGATATATTGTAATAAAGTTTGTAAATGCTTTGATTTACTTCATACACTACCACACCGCATCGTATTTTATAAGTTAAGAGTAGAGGTATAAAATGTAAATGCTCAAGTAAAAGTACGAGTACCTCAAAGCTTTCCTTACAGTGTTTAAGCAAAGGTACTGAGGGTTAACAAACGGTCTAGCATTAATTTAGGATTAGAACTACCATTTTTGAATCTCGATTATCACAACAGGAAAACAACACAATGTAAAAACCACAAGCACAAAGCTATTTAACAGAAACTTTATTTATTTTAAGGAAAAATGTGTTACTCCATCGCGCACAGCTCTAGAACAATGGACAGACCAGTGTGACAGTGAGCCAGCATGCACAATACAAAGACCCTGAAACTGAGGCATCTGTGATATTATTATTGTTATTTAGTCCTGTGCTTTTTCTACTGTGACGTATCAAAATGTCTTCATTGTAAAAGGGTTATTTTGCTCTGCCATTGGAGTCACTGTCGCCTATAGGAGCTACAGTGCTGCAGCACTCTGTCTCCATCATGTGGCTGAAGCTGCTCTGTTGTTTTGTTACTTATTTTATCACTTGCGATTCTGTAAGTAGTAATACTGTCCATCCAAGGGGGAAGAAAGACACAACATGAAAATGTTGAATATATTCAAATATAAAGTTATATTCATGATAGTGGGGTTAAACTGTTAAAGACACATGCTGTTTGTCTTGAAGCTTGTAGTAACTAGGCCCCTGCCTAGAAATGGTATTATATTCAACTTTTTTTTTTACATGTGGAATGACAATTAAACTTGAACTTGGAACTGAAGATCAGGTGCATTTGTCATCAATTGTATTGCAAGTAGTAGTCATAGTAGTAGGCATAGTATATCACGTTCTATCAAATATGTTCACACGCCAACAATGTTTAAACTGTCAATTAGCTTTCTATTTTACACATATAATCTTACATACCATGTGCTTTTGTTCATCAATCAAATGCCAGGTCTGAAAGATCAATTATCTTTGGTCTATACAGCAATGTCATCTACATCCAATGTAACACAGCGTGCTACCGTCACATGAATAATGATGAAAAATAATGAGACTAAATTTGTGTTTTTGTGCTCCACTACGTGCGCCACGCATTCTGCTGCATTCCTGCCTGTGTTGAATGCGTAGCCTGGGGGCCTTTCTGAGATCAAGCCGGGACATGCTGTTCTCCGGGTGCCTGTCACATGCGAGCACATTTTTGTGTTGTAGAGACAGGCAAAGACACTTTCAGCAGGGCAACATTACCACTATTACATCCAACTGTTATGGAGTTTTAAGGAGCGCAATACAAAGGTAAGGTGACTGCACTTCTGCAACTCATTACGCTGTTGCAATTCAACTCCTGAGCCTCGCGCTTGAAATGGGCGTGGTCAAACAAACACACACGGAACGGAGTAGGTACGTCGCGAGGGCTCGCGACAGTCAACAGAGCGGCTACGGCGCAAAAAAAAAAAGTGACAGATACTGGACGCAGCGAGTGCGCAAAGCTGTGCGGATGATGCCTGAGGTTGCCTCCCGTTTCTAAGCCGCAGGTAAGCTTTTTCCAAACCACCTGACGCGCTACGTGAACACCCTCACTGGTGTCTATTTGTCAGAAGCCGACAACAGTGGGCACGAGACCCTAAGGAACTAGCTTTAGTTAAATTTGCTAATTTCTTTTTTCTTTTTAAATGCGTCAGAGTGCGAGTGTTAGAAGCAATTTGCATAACTAACCCTTCATTTAACCGTTCATTTAGGCACATGAAAACAAGTGTAATAAGAAGATGAAAGTAAAACTGCGTCACCCACACTTAAACTGGCATGTTACATTGTATTCATAGTGGTGTAATACCTTTTTGTGCAAACATTAATGAACCCATATCACACGTGCAACACTATTAATAACAACACAGTCTTGCACTAACTTCCTCCAAACGTGCATTTTATTTTACTACAGTTTTAAATGACGTTCCCTGATAAATGTTTGCGAGACTGTATCTTTAAAACACTTAATATTGAAGTAGGCACTATTTTAACAGGGCATACACATCGCGAGGCATGCCCACGTCTTCCTTTCCGTCAAACCAAGAAGTGGACACCAATTGGACTTTGGTTGAAGTTGGTTGGCAGAGGGATGTGCGGAAGAACTATGATGTGTGTGTGTGTGTGTGTGTGCTGGTGTGCATGCATGGGCATGCATGCCATGAGTCACCCCTTGTGCGGTCTAACCACACCTGTGGTGTGCTTCGTGGGTGTAACACATCAGCATACTTTCAGACATAGTTTTGTTTCGCAGAGGAAACAATATCTTCATAAATTTCTCTTTATAAATTGCTCTCAGTGAGTTTTGTAGCCTACGTACTTAATGTGTTTGTGTGTGTTGCCTCCTGTATCTTTTATGTCTACACTCACACACACACACACACACACACACACACACTGCTTCATATGTTGCCATGCCCATGTGGGATGTGCAAGCTGCTTTTATCTTGTGAAGTTCTCTTTTTGCTCCTCTTATTGATCTTAACACCCTGTGGGCTTCGACACCGGGCAGTATCTATAGATCAAAGCTCCTTCACCCATCCCTTAATAACGTTTGCTGAACGTGTGTGTGTGTGTGTGTGTGTGTGTGTGTGTGAGTGGGCGTCTTGAGCGCTAAAAGGCAGAGATGAGGAGCAGGTCAGATGTGCTAGCAAGCTTCGGCGTGTGCCTGCGCTGGCTCTCGGCCAATACAGGTCCCTGCATGTTAACACTGCAGCACACAGCTGGGCAGGTCTGCTAGACTGTATGTAGGCCCCTGCTGCTGTCGTGAGGACCAAGTACTGTTGTGTAGAGCTGGGACTGTGTGGTCAGTGCTTAAAAAAACAAACGCAAAGCAATGTAGCGTCTAAGGTGTGATGTGCTCACAAGATGAGACAAAGAAAATATTTGTGTTCGTGTGTGCCACTATCTAGATTGTAGTCCAAAAATAGCCTCTAATGAAGGGGAAGAGATGCTTTATTCTCACCAGGTTGGTATATAAATGTATAAATATTCTCTTATTGGAATATTCTCTTATACTCTTAATGTTTATTCTGGGAACAGCTTGTGCGGTAAAGAACTTGAATATGAACACATGCATGTTTGCCACAAGATTGTGTTTACTTGAAAGCAGAAGTAACCCTTCATGTTCTCTGTGCACCGTAGGTTTGCAACCTAAAAGAGAAGTGGACTTGGCAAGATGTTGACGTATCTAACTGTGAGTTTGAAGTTTGACTGTGTGTGTGGGTGTGTCTGTGAGTGAGAGTGGGAGATAGAGAGAGAGAGCAGTTCTGCCACAAAATTAATTAGTTCTTAACTTTGAACAGATGGTGTAAAAGCACGAGGAAACCGACTGTTAACAATAGCGTGCCGTTTTAAAGGGTTATTTTATGTTGTTAGGCAGTGAGCTGTGATGTAACGCTTGGATCTTTTTAAATTCTGTGATTAGAGGAGACAATGTCAGTTGGCCTTTCTGCAGAACTCCACTTTGTGTGTCATTTGATCAGACCTTTAAGGTAAGACCTCTTTCCAAAACCTGTCCACAGAGCCACGCTGTAAATGGTGGCATGCTGTTTCATCATAGCTATTGCCGTTTCCTGCCGTTTCATCGAGGAGTGTTGCAAATTTAGATTTGTTTTTTTTGGGGCCATGTTTGCTCACTTGTCGATGACTGTAAAGCAAATGTGACTTGATCTTTTTTTTTTTTTTTAGACGTTTATGGGAAATAGGCTTGTTCGCTATTTTGCTGAGATTGCATGACGAGATCGATGTTGGTCTCACGTCTGCGGGGTAAAGTTTGAAGCAACAGCCAGGAGACGCTTAGCTTAGCTCAGCACAAGGGCTTGAAGCAGGGGTCCAAAAAAAGAAGGAGAAAAACCTGCACACCGGCATGTTTTTGAAGAGAAAATCTTCTCGGGACATTGGCAGATGATGAGGTGGTGAATGGAAGACAGATCATGAAATTAAATCATAAGCATGTGATGATTTAATCTCACTTCATAACAAATGTTACTGGTTGTTCCGCTTTATCATCAATATTGAAAAAAAGTGTTATTTCTGCTTGTGCTAATGAGCCATATCTATATTTCATAAACAGCTTTCAATCCTAAAAGTTGCCTGCACCCCAGGGTGCTGTTGAAATTCTGGAAATCTAACATTACATCAAAAAACACTAAGAAATTGCTGAACAGAGCGTCAATAGTTTTCACAAATATCTTCTAATACTCGCAGAGCAGCCTACGTTTTTTAAATTTGAGTCATCAAATTATTTTTTGTGTGCCGAATCGCTGCAGCGATCACAACTTAATTTATTCATTTACGGTTTATCGTCTAACTCTTGGTGAGAGAGGGAATGAGTGCATTTCCCAAAATGTCGAACTTTTCCTTTGATGAGGTCCAATAAGTTCATCAAAGTGGAGAGGACGTAACGTTGAACTCTTAAACACATTTTCACCTGCAGAACTCCCCCGAAGATAAAATCAATAGCCACTTAATCATTTGGGCTTGCAGAGAGATGCATCATTAGAGCCTACCAGATATATTTAAGTGTTTCTGTTCCACTTAATGGACATTTCACAGGTTCATAATATAGTCGATGGTAAGAGTGGAGTCCTGCAAAGATTAAATTCAGTTTGATGACACTTTACTTTATTTTTCTTCCCTCATCACATATTTGTACCTTTTTCTTTTGTGTGTCTACAGTTTAAAGCCGGGCCGGTACATCTTCTGAATGTGTTCCTGACGCGGCAGAGGTGAGACCAGAGCATCATGTTGGAGCCTCCGGAGCCTAGCCAGGAGGTCGTGGAGTGGCTGTCCACCCTCCGCCTGTCCCAGTACACCCCGTATTTCCAGCAGGGAGGCTATCGAGCTCTGGACGATTGCAAGGACCTCACCGACACACAGCTCCTGGGGCTTAAAGTGTTTCCAACGGGCCACCGTAGGCGCATCCTCCGAAGTTTGGAAGCACTGAGGGTGAAGGAGACGAGCGGCAGAGAGGAAGATGGAAAGGGAGAGGCGGCGAATGGGATGCGCCGCAGGGGGCCCGTGCTGCACCCAAGACACATCTTCCTGAAGGATAAAAAGAGGGGGAATACATGCCAGCATCAGCCGAAGGAGAGGAGGGAGTATGAGTCGGAGGGGAGTCAGACTTTGCCCCCAGGGGCCGGACTGGGAACAGAAGGTGGGGACGCCCAAGAGAGTGGATGCGTTCTCCCGCCTCAACCGGCCCCGCGCAATCCAGCGAACATCCAAAGATCCCTGCCAGAACATGTCCCCGCCTCCGTGTTCTCCAGCAGCAGAAGCAGCAGCAGTGAGTCCCTCTCCATATCTGAAGTCCCCTCAGACTGGGAGATCTCCTCAGAGGATCCCTCGCCGTCTAGCGCCGACTCTGTCCCCCATACGGCTGAAGTCCCCCGCCCAGCACTCGCCGAGGACAATTGGGTTTTTCAAGGCGACATGGTGGAGAACTCCATCTACGAGACACAGCCCAGTTTCAAGGTTCCCGAAGGCCCACAGCTCACTCGCTCCTACCGACTGAGGCACCGGCCCGTTCCCAAAATCCCCAATCAGACCACCCCGCCGCTTCAGGACAGGTAACCGTTCGACTTAAAGCAACAGTTCAACGTTTTGGGAGATGTGCTTTTTTCACTTTGTTGCAGAGAGCGAGTTTAGCTTCACATCTACCGTACAGACATGAGAGCGCCATCAATCTTCTCACTTAACTCTCGCATGAAAGCAACGAAGTCCAATTTCCAAAAATGTTGGAACTATTACCTTTGAGTATAAAGTTTGACTTAATGAAAGTTTGTGAGCAGTCGGGAACTGTTCAAACAAGTTGGAGGAGTACTGAGAGAAAGCACCAGGAGAAATAAATTTGCACGCTGAATGAATATGAAAACAATACTTCACTTCTTGCATTTTGATTTTACACTAATGGAGAACCTGAGGCCTTTTCATTTTCAATTCCGCATTTCACGTACGTTAATGCCGCTCATTCTAATCATGAACTTATCAACTGTGAAACTAACTTTTCACAGTTGCACATCTCTATTCTGAAGGCCCTTTTTCTCCTAAATGGTGTTACCTATCCCCCCCCCCGACGTGCTGAATCGGTGGTTCTAATTCACAGATTTCCCATCTTCTTCAGGAGCACGCCACCGCTGCCGCCGCCGGTGCAAACCAGCAGCCCCGAACGCCCAACCGGCTCCCAAGGTCCCGCCGGTGCAAACGGCACACAGAAAGGTACACCGTCTTTCAAGAGGCATCCGCTTCATCATCTCACGCCATGAATATTTCATTCGGCAGTAGAGTCAGCGGTGCTGTTGTTTGCCCGGATGAAAGAAGGGAGAGGAGATGAGGGGAGTGTGTGTGTGTCGTGGGAAACTGCATGGCTCCCCGTTTCAAGCACACATCTCACAGGGAATATCTCTCTCACATCGCGTCCCTCGGCGAGAGCCCGGTGTGTATTCCTGTCACCCGGCTCTCCAAAGTTTTTTTAGAAGTTGTTTAACTTTGCTAACAACACACAAGGCTTGTAGTACAACCAGTACAAATCCGTTTTTGAAACTCCTCCCGTTCCCTCGCTGTATTTATTGGGCTTAGTCGACCCTCATGTTTCATCTGACGAGATGCTACGTGAGCTGCTGTGTGTGAGTGCGTTGAGGTAGACGTGTTCTCCAAGGATTATCTGTTGCTTTGCTGTGACAACCGGCAGTATGAATGTGTGTGTGTGTGTGTGTGTGTGTGAAACACCTGTGAACGTGTCAGTCGTTTTCGGGTCCATACCTGACCATGTCTTCACCAGCATATCAACAGTTTTTCTGTCCGTTTTCCACACTTAGTCCTCCCTCACGTTTCCTTTTGGCTGCCCCCCTTCCTTCCTTGTTCCGTGTACTGCAAGCAGTCTCTTGGCAGGCCGTGTTTTTCCAACTTTCTCTCTGTACAGAACAAGACAGGGAGCGAGACTTGAGAGAGCGGCAAGACAGTGAAGTGGGTTGGGGAGGGAAGGAAGGAAGGGGGAGATGGATGCAGAGCAGGCTGAGAGAGACGGCGGAAGAGAGGGAGCCGAGGCGGTCGCAGAGCAGGGAGACGGGAGCTAAATCTCCCTTCACAGCGAGGCCTAGCACGGCGCTATTTGACATATCATTTTTACCCGAGCATATTTGAAGAGTTTATTCACAGACGAGATCCAAAAAGTCTCAGTTATTCAATCAAAACTTGCTGTTGGAGGCTGACAGAATGTTAATTAACGCCTCGACAACTCCACTTATACATTTTCACGAGGAAAATCTGTCTGTCGAGCACACTAAAAATCATTCCAGTAATGACTAAAACACTATTAATAATTGCAGTCGTGAGGCTACTTTTTAAGCCCTTTGATCGTACAATGGCAGACACACGCACACACACTGCCCAGTTTAATGCACTTCCCTTTCTAAGCACCCTAAACGTTTAGAGCAGTTGTTTCCCTGACACTGCATACACACAGTGCTAAGACACACCTCAGATCAAACAAAAAAACAGTATGTACTAGTGTTGAAAAGATATCTGCATACAAGACATAGAATGAGGATGAGGGAATTATATATTATACATTAATATGTACAATGTAAATAAATACATCTGCATTTCAGCTTACAATATATTAGTATAGAAAGTAACCGAACAGCAGCCACAGCTACATGCATAACACCAGCCCTCATTGTCCTCATTTGGAAGAACAGAACGGTCATTAAAGAAGGTAAAGCACTCTTGACTGGTTTTATTCTTGAGCTATTCAGGAGTAAATTCAGGGAACCAGTGACTGAAATAATAAACAGTTCGGTGACTACTTTGGATTCAGATGGCGGCACCCCGTGCTCGGGGTGTGAGTGACACAGAGGAGTGATGGTAACAAACTGACCCGTAACTCCCCGACTTAAAAAAAAAAAAAAAAAAAAAAAAAAAGAACAGAGGCTTCGCTCATAACAAAATCAATCTCCGTCGGCTACTCCGAAGCAATGCCGGCATCTAGGTCTCTTCCCGGATGGCGACTTGAGAGAGAGGGAGAGAGGGAGAGAGAGGCCAGGAGTAGACAAAGAAGCAGCGTGGTCAGCTGAGAGAGACAAAGGCAGAAGCCGGAGACAGAAGAATGGAGGGAATCAGACAGGAATGGAGTACAGTAGCGGCCGGCGGGCCCTCGGGAGAGAATGGCGAGTGGCCTGAAGGTCGGCTGATGGATGATGACTGATGGTTGCCCACCAAGCCTGTCTGCAGAGAGGGCGGCTGTGTTGGGATTCCATCATCCAGTAAACTGACCCCCTTCATAGAGCTTACCCAGCACAGTACATGCCCTTTGTGCCCTCCTGTAATGCTCTGCAGTGTGTCTGTAAAGCTTTAAAAAGTAGTCCATCCACTGTGTACTTATTTGACCGTCCATCCTTTTTTAAAATTTCTTATGTCTGTGTTTTGTCTCGAGGCATCTTTATGTGTCTGAGGGTGTTCCGATCTTAGTCCGCCTCTCCGCCGGTGTCTGTGTGTGTGTGTGTGTGTGTGTGTGTTGCTCCCGCGGCGGTCGTCTTTTGGCCCCTCACAATCCTCAGGAGAGGGTGGTGTCATTTTTCACAGTGACAGGCCAGTGGCCCACGCAGGGTGGCCCCCAGGTCTCCAGACTAATAGTGTCTGGCCAGAGCTCTCTCCGCTCTCCTCCTCCTCCTCCGTCTTCGCCGCCACCGACCGCGGTCCCTGCAGCGGCCGACACGGAGAAAATGGCCTTGGCAGGGACGCGGTGTGTTTGAGAACACACCGAGGAGGATCACACTCCCTATTGGAGCGAGGAAAAGGATCCGAGGCCGAGAGATAAGCATGCGAAAACAAAAAAATGTAATTAGTTTACTGCTTACAGGGATCAAGTGCTTTCACGTTCATTCAGATCAATGAGTTGGTTTAATCAAAGATTTTAAAATGTGACTGGAACAATCGTGTTAAGCTCCTCACTTTCATGCACCGTGTTTAGGCCTTCACACTGCAAGTTTCAATGCTGTGACAAAGCCACCATTGTGTTGTCTCTGTGTGTGTTTTTTTTTTCTAGCTCCACTTCAAAGAACCTTGACGCCCATCGCTCCCTATGGAGAGTTGTTCCTGTACAACAACCCCGAAAGCACTGCGGTAAGACGGCGCACACTCCCACGAGTGGACAGTGAGGAACAGACATTTCTCAGATCTCTTAACACTTATCAGTGGCGTTTCAACCGCAGGACCGCACAGCAAACTTCCCTCTCGGTGTAGGCGTTGTCACCATGGACAGAGTGGAAAATGTGCTTGTTTCAGTTTGCCACCTGAGGTTAATGGAAATGTCACCTAGCCACTAAAGTTAACATAGCTTCGTGCAGCAACACGATAACGGTGTCCGACTGAAAGACGGACACCTTCTCTTCATCTGATGTGAATCTCCCTCGTGTGTGCTCTGTAGGACCAAGGTGCTAAAGAAGGGTTACAGAGGGGCTTTAAGGACAAGATCAAACAGAAGAAACAGAGGTACGGTACGCTGACGGGATGCATATAAAAAAAGTAGTGGCCACAGAGTAGATGCCATCCTGAGGCAGCATTTTAAATGACAAATATAAGAGATTTTGGGCAATAATTATACATTTCCTACACACATGAGGGTGGGCCTTCTTCACAGAATCGTTTTGGAAACATGTTTGTTTACTGTCATGCCGAGAAGAAGATGTGATCAGTACCACTTCCATGTCTATTCGCTACTTACATATAGCTAGAGTCGGGAGGGAATTAGCTTAGCTCAGCATAAATAGTGGAAGCAATGGGGGACGGCAAACCTGTCTCTTTACAAACTTAAATTAAAAAAAATTGCCTTCCAGAACTTCTTGACCTAATGAAGTAACACCTTCTATCTTGTTTGATTGATATGCAAGTAATAGTATAGTATAAAAAGGCTATATGCTAAGCTAATCACTTCTGACTCTTACTACATCCTTAACAGACATGACAGTGTTAACAGCTTTTTATCTGTCTCTCGGCAAGAAAACAATTATCAGTATTTCCCAAAATGATGAACTGCTCCTTTTAAATGTCATCTACGCTCCTACAGAAAGAAGATGCCCAAACGGAAAAAATCCAAGGAAAAAGGTCCTCCCCCTGCTCCAGCAATCCCAGACCCCCACAGAGACGAGTACTCGACGGTGGACGAGTGTGTCGGCTTTTTGCCGCGAGCCGGTTCGAACCAAAGTTCTCCGGTGAACCCGGAGGGTGTCGCCGTGGGACCAGGGGCCTCCGGCCCTCAGGACGGCTCTTTAATGATGGTGGAGTGTGACCTCTACTCGGGCCCCGCCGACGCTCTGGGGGGCGTGGCCAGCAGTGCGCTGCCGGACATTTCTCCATATGCATGCTTCTACGGAGCCCCCAAACACCAGGTGCTCAAAGTGGGCTGGCTGGACAAGCTGTCGCCTCAAGGGTAGGTTACAGGACTGCAGAAGATAACTGTGATCGTGCATCAGACATAAAATATTGTTCTTAATCTGATCGCAACGATCTATGATCGCTGCACCAACGAAAGGGGAAGGAAGATGGGAGATAACATTGTAGTATTGGTATCAAAATATGTTGGCCCTTACTTAGTTTGGCTTTTTCTGGCAAAAACAACATCTATTTCTCCGTGCAACTTGCTTCACCGTTGCTCTAAAACCGAAGCTATCAATCATTTACTTCCTTTTATATTCTCCCTCACTGCCCTATTTGCATAGATTTGGCAAACCACCCATGGCTGTTGAATATTCAAATTGAAAGTGCCCATTTGTTTTGATTATGCTAATTGACAGCCGTTGATACAACTCCTGACATTAATGAATCAATGGCACTCTTGATGAAATATGAGTACCTGTTCCGAGCAGTTTTAGTAACCGGCTTACTGTCTTTGATGGTTTCTGGAACAGTGTTGCGTCTTTCACTCCACAGTGGTTCAGTTTGGGTTGAATTTGCACACCTCACCTTCTCTTTGCAGGAAATGTGTTTTTCAAAGGAGGTGGGTGAGGTTCGACGGAGAGAGTCTGGCCTACTACAACAATGACAAGGTACAGTAAGTGCGAGAGAAACGCATGCGCACGTTCACACATTCCTTCCCCTCCCGCTACGAAGTCGCTCCCTCGACAGAAATCCATACGATGAGCAGCTGAGCGTGTCCTAAGTGTCCCTTTCTCGTCCCCTTTTCTCCTCCTTCTCATTCTCGTCATCATCATCATTAGCTTGGCAGAGTAAAGAATGGGGGCAAGGACGGAGCGACATTACGCCGTGCGTGACAGCGCTCTCCGTGCCCGCTCAGCCGTACAGTAGAGTGCATTGATGTTGGCACCTGACCAGCAGGGGAAGGGACGACTTCTCTCTTCTTTTTTTTTTTTTTTGCCTCTGGTCAGCGTTTCTCTCTCTCTCTCTCTCCCTCTCTTCATTCTCCTTCTGTCTGACAGCTGAGTTTGAAATTTCGCTTAGCAGTGCCTGCCTCATCATCAGAGGGAGGGAGAGGGAGGGACGTGGGGAGGGAAATGGGTTGCTGTTGGGTGAGAGTATGGGAACGTGGAGAGGAGGCAGACAAAGATGCAGGCAAATATGGCTGCTTCACCTCCACCTGTTTAGTTTGAAAACTTTTAGCATCACCACTGGTTTCTGGTTTAGATCAGAATATATATATATATATGTGTTATTTGAAGAGTATGTAGATAAAAAACTGTCAAAGCACTTAATATCAACTTTTGATACTTTTGAATCCTTGATGCTACGGATGTGTTTTAGTCGGTTCCCAAAAAGTATTGAGCTTCAATCCTCGGCCCCGGAGGTCATGCAGAATCAATCTCCCCTCACTGCATTATCACGCAACAACTGACAAAACTGAACAGCAGATATAATTGTACAACAGATGATTAATGTGATGTGAATGCGAACTGTTGAGTTACATTATGTGTATCGGAGGAGCTTTCACAAACGCTGGTGTTATCCTTTTGAAAAAAGCTCTTTTAATGCATGAATTCAGTGTTCTCCAGCTATCGTTACGCGACCACAACCTACCCTGACATAATGTGCTTTGCCTCCGTGTTCCCGCTAATGACCGTTGGATGTATCCAGAACAAACACATCTCAGTGTGTGTGAGAGCGTGACCTTGGCGCCCCTTTCCCAGGGCCGGCTCGTTTCCGCTGCGGCAAGCGTTGCACAACATCACAATCAATGATGTGGGACCTGTCTGAAGCGGCTCGTTAATCACTTACTAATTATAGCCCTCCGTGCTCTCCCCTCCCCCCTCGTTCTCTCTCTTTTTTTTTCGTCGCATTCGTTACTTTATTTGTCAGGACACGCTCCGTCGCCGGCAGAGCGGGAATCGGCAGGGAGGCCGGCGAGTCAGCACTTTACGCTCCTTGTCACTGTCGGCGCGACAGATTCTGGAAAGATGAAAAGTTTGCCTGTGTGTGTGTGTGTGTGTGTGAGGCGGAACAAGAGACTGTTGTTTAGACTTTTTAAAAGTCATCCTGCCAATGTGACTCTCTCCTCTGAGAAAGCAGCGGGCTTCATCATGTTTCGGGTGAGCAGAGGGGTCGAGCACCATCTCTCCGTCATCCCTGCTTTGTGCGGCCAGCTGAGGCCGAGCACCACCCCGACGTGCCCCCCAGTGCCACCTCCATAGAGCGAGCGCGGGGATAGAGGAAGACCGCACGGGCCGACAGAAAGTCTCTCAGCACCACTTTGTGTCCTTCGCGGTGCAGAGACATACATGTATGTGTGTTCCGTTAGACCGAGAGCAGACGGGAAAGAATTGCTCTACTGCTCTTGTTGATGTAAGTGTACAACTGATCTCAGACCAGCTCTATTGATTCTAGGAATACTCTGGATACTATTCATCTTCCAAAGTGCTTCAACTACAAGCAGTTTTGCCAAATATTTTCAACAGAAATTCGCTAAAACCTCCTTCAACTGTTGCTAGACAGTGTCATGCCTGAATTTGCATATTTATGATGTCATCACATATTGAATTATCATATATGAAGATTAAATTAAAAAAACTGAAGTAAAGTGGGACTAAACTCGACAGACTAGCTGTATCGGTAGCCATTATTAATACTGAACCTGCCATCATCTCATGTATGTGTCTAATAATGAGCTAAGTGCTGACATCACAGTGTCCACAATGCCAATGCCGAGGTAACATGCTGATGTTTACCGTATTCACCACTTTAGTTTAGCACATTAGCATTAGCTAACTTGACAGAATCTGTTTTGAATTGATTCCTTTTGTGTCAATTCTTATAATCTAGCAAAATTGGTGCAGTCTGCACTCGATTTAAGATTGGACTCTTAAGTTTAATCAAGCCTGATATAGGATGGTTTTATGTTCTTATCATATCCAGTCTTTTACTACCCGAAACACAAAAATACAAATGCCTCGACACTAAACCATTCCCATGCTTGTTCCCTTTCTCCAACTTTCAACACCCCCCAAAAAACACTTTTGTAGTTCAAAATCCTCTGGAATCTGCCAGCCTCAGACAAAACTAATCGCACTTAATCACAGTCGCAGCTTGAAGGTCTCTGGCCGCCGTGATGTCATCATCGGGGGTCGCGGAGGTGGCGTGGGAGAGTAGCGAGACGCTCGGTCTCACTTCTCCCTCTCTGCAGCGTTGTATCCAATCCCGCCTCATCAATCACCCCCTTTCACCTGATTTCGTCAACACCGGGATTGACTCGGGAGAGAGCTTTGGGCCTGAGATGTAGTCTTCAGGGTCCTGGTGCGGTGTCGCATGTGTGTGAGAGAGTGTGTGTGTGTGTTTATGAAAACAGTCCAAAGCCTGGCTTCAGGGTAGTGAGGGGAGGAAGTGTGGAGGATGACTGGGGGGGGGGGGTTATGAAGGGATGAGAGGATAGGGGAGGGAGGTGGAGGCAAGATGAGGTTTTAGGACCGAGGATCAGTCTTTGAGTGTATCTGTCTGACGCTCTCTCCTTCTAAGCCTTAAAAGCTCCTCTGCTAACCCCCTCCTGTGTCTTCCCAAGATGCCTCTGCAGACGCTTACTGTAACACCTCAAGTGTTTCTTTTTTTTTTCCCATTTTATTCCGTGACAAAATACATGTAACATATTCAGTCGCAATCTGTAGTGTACTTAATCTTTTTTTCCCATGGTGTCGTACATTTCCATGGGTTTAATTCCCCAGTGCGTGTTGTGGCCTGATCATATGTTGATATCCAAGAATTCTTATTCATACAGAGAGACATTTAAGAATAGATATCATTTGAATTCACACCAGTCCTCAGGTAGATTTACCACCTTTAAATTTAAGTAGCTCTCTAGAAAAGAGCTTTAGTGTCTTTCAGCTCATTGTTTTGGTTTTTAACCTCAGCAGGCAGCAGTTTTCAGTAAGAAAGCTCCAAACCTCCGCTGTACCCTCTCCGCCCTTGGCCGACATATTTACCGACTATCCACCATAGTGGAGCATTTTAGCTGCTGAAGAGCCAGATATTTTCCTCAGGAGTTGGTGAGGCACTAAACTGAGCTCAAAGGAGAGTGAATAGAGAGTCGTAACCCGATTTACATAAATGTTGTGTTTACAGCACCGAAAAAAGGAAATAGTGCAGGTTCGAGCATAACCCTAAACTCGATGCCAGAAGATACGCAATCCCAACCTCCTCCACACTCGCAGACTTGGAGGCACGTTCCCACGAAGTCTGTGAGGGGTTAATGGCTGTCCCACTGTCAAATCGTCAAGTGCTCGAGGGCTCTCTCTTAGACACTTTGAGCCCTTTTATGCTCTCTTTCTGTAAGTCCGCATTTCGGCAGACTTTGCCTGAGGGAATTACCCACAATTCATAGCGCTCTGACATTAAACACTGCCTTACCAGGGGAAGCCCGGAGGCGTTAAAAAAAAAAGAATGGGGGGGGGGGAAAAAGACTACGTAAACAAAGAGGAAGGCACATGTTGCACAAGTTGCACTGAAACTTTCACATTAAGGATTTTAGATTTAAATTGGAGGAACGCAACAAAAGGAAGTGTTATTCATCAAACAACAACACGTTAATTTATTATTTGACAATTGCCTCTTCTCTCGTAAGGGCAAGACAACTGGATGACGTTCAAATAAGGCAATTAAAAAGTGTAAAGCAAAACCCCACAAGTGTAATGAACACGTTTGGGTGTCATCAAGGTGAAGTGATATGTCTCATTTGTATTCATACCGTTTTAAACTCATCGCAGCTGCTCACTCTCATGCATTTACCAGGTGATGTCAGTGAAGTCCTTGAGGGTTCAGGGCTTCAGGTCTTCGGGGGGGACATTGGGATTGACCTCATAAAATCCTGCAACAATGAAATATAAATGGACTGAGCTGGCCTTGCATTGACACACACCCTCAATAATTAATTATTAGCCACATTTCTTGGGTCTCACATATGTTAAAAAAAATCCCGTTTGACATGACAATGTCTCATTTTAATGGTCAGCATTCAGAGACCCGGGAGTCTTGCAACATACTATCCTCATAAAGACTCATAACAGCTGTGCCTGGAGGCAACATCTTTAAAATCCTTCAGGGACCCCCGCTCAGGGTAACACCAGAGCAAAGAGGCATTGTTCTCTCAAAGGTGCAGTTCTCTGTTCCAACCAGCTGGTGTCCTCGTGCCTCCATTGATGATGTGTGGAGATGCCAGAAGCTGAACTCCATGCTGGTGGCAAAAAAACTCTTTCCACTCTCCTTCACCCTCCTCCCTGCTTCATCCCCCACGCTGCCTCCATTATTGTAGGCTTTAGCTCAATTGCTCTGCCTTAATTGTTTCCTGAAGTTCACCAGGTTGTTTTTGAGAAAGAAAGGAGACATAGTTATCCAGCCAGGATGCGCAGTTGAAAAGAAATAGAAGAAGAAGAAGAAGAAGAAAAAGAAGAAGAAGAAGAAGTAGAAGTAACACCGACCTGCAAAATGATACAGCCGGATAATTGTTGGGAGAGCAGAGCGAGAGGTATAGCGACGTGGGAACGGCTGCAATGAGAGGACGTGGGAGGGAGGGAGTCGAGAGTGGGAGGGAGGTCAGAGGGAGGGGAAATGAGTGTGGAGGAGATCTTTGGCAGAGGGAGGCCGGTCAGGTGTGTCTGTTATTGGAGGAAGAGAGATAGTTAGGCCTCATTGCTTCCTTGGCAGTACGTCCTCTCGAGATCGGTCTACAAACATTACGTGTGTGTGTGTGTGTGTGTGGGCGAATGCGTTGCGTCTGAATCCACCTCCTGGACACTGACCGCCTCCTTTCGTCGTTCCTCTGCCGACTCTGCTGTCGAGTGTATTTACAGATGCACAACTCGCAATTAAACAACTCTCTCCTTCATGACTCCAAAAAGCTGAATTAAAACAATTAATTACCGTTAACCCGTACCGGAGTATAATTAGCAGCACACAGCTACCGAGCTAATCCATCCACACACACACACACACACACACACTCTTGCTCTCCCCTTTCCTCACCTTCCTTTTAACTTCTATCTAAATTTCGAGAGAGAAAGAGGGGGAGATGCTGGTGTGAAACTCCTCGGGAGAGAAACGCACAAGGCCGGCCTTCGGTAATTAGGTTGAGCCACTTCTCGCCATTGTTAACATCCTGTTTTAATATGAGAAGGACCCCTGCCTCACCCTCTCAGGCCTCTTCATCTCGATATGATGTCTTTCTTTCCTCCCTCTTCTCCTCTAGCTGCACCTCTTTCTCCTCCTGACTGGTTTGCCTCTTCTTCTGTTGTTTTTATCTTTTCTCTATTGTATCTCTTTTCCCTTTTCTCTCTCTCAGTCCTCTCCTTGGCCTTTCACATGAACCTAATTTCTCAAATTATTTTTTTTACCCTCTCCCTGACTGACCGTGCCACCTGCTATATTTTTGGCTGTACGGTCTCTAAAAATAGGCTTTTTTTTGTGGCTGCCAAGGTCACCGGCTTAATTAAGAACAGAGAGAGAGAGAGAGAGAGAGAGAGAGAGAGAGAGAGAGAGAGAGAGAGAGAGAGAGAGAGAGAGAGAGAGAGAGAGAGAGAGAGAGAGAGTCAGAAGGTCACTTCCTTCATCTTGTCCCCTCGCTCAGGCGGCCGCGGCAGTACAGTAGAACAAACACACAGTTTTGTGCATGGCAATCACCGGCAGTTATTACATTGTGCACAGGGCGGCAGAGAACGAATATTCAGGTCAAGCCCGCTGAAGAGCGACAGATAGGGGGATAAAAAAAAGGAACGTCTATTTTTTTATGATTTATTTTTTTTCCATTCTTTGCAATGATAATGACATTATCGACATGAATAATGCAATGTCTGCAACGACCCCTTTCTTTTCCTTTTTTATAACCCAGTGATTTTCACGCCTCTACAGAAGCGTAATGTACTGGCCCCCCTCCCCACACACACACACACACACACTCACTTTATTGCAAGAACATTACAGTCCGACATGTTCTTAGCTAACTACTCTAAGGACATTTCTCTGTTATACTGACTCGATGGCGGTACCGCTCTCTCCTCGCTTCTTTTAGAAGTGATAATATTGACGTTTGATTTTGTTTTTTTTTCCTCCTCCTGTCTCCTCTTCGTATCGACAATGACCCAGTACTTGTAATTGTCATTGTCAAGGGAGGTTGTGAAAAGGGTCATGAAGCCTCCAGTGCAGCATCCTCCTTATTTAGATACCTCCTTACGAGAGCTGCTGGGGGAAAACATGGGGGGGGGGGTAATGAAACAACACACACACACACAAAAAAGCGCTTCCTGTGCTTTACCCAAATCCCCACTACAGCGTGCCTGGCTCTTTTTAAATATTTGAGAAGTTTGTTTTCAGCGTGAGGATTTGTTTGATGATGTATCCTAACACCCTATTGACAGTCTTCTTTAATGCGATGTAATCCACTCTTTTCGGCAATTTCACGCTCCTCTCCTTCAAATCGCACATATTTCTCATCTATAATTTGAGTTATTTGCATTAATATCAAAGATCACATCAACACAACAGGCTTTCTTAACAGTATGCGGCTCGTATGGAGTCGTATTCTATGATCGTTCCTGTTCGTATTCCTGCAGCAGCTTTTCTTTTTTTTTTTTTTGATTGAAATGCTTCTTGTTCAAGAGCTCTGGGCCATTTATCAAAGCTACTGCTTGAAAGGGAACAGGGAAGCTATTTCTGCAAATACATTTGACGTTGTATTGATGGTTAATGGCTCTAGTTGGATGAGGGTGTCCGTCAGTGTCGCTTCGAATTGAATGCCATCGTAGCCGACTGCAATACAACTCTGAATTACACATCTATCGATGCAAACAGCGCGCCTGAATACGCAAATTGTGGGTCCACAGATGCAGATAATAGGAATAGACAACAATTCAACAACAGTATTAGTATGCATGAGGCTGCGTGTGTGTCTGCTTGAGTTTATATACCTATTTAGTGCGTTTTTTTTCTTCTTATCTGTCTATTTATGTGTGTCTCTCTTCAGGAGATGTACTCCAAAGGTATGATCCTGGCCAGCGCCGTCAGACAGGTGCGAGGACTCGGGGACAACAAGTTTGAGGTGGTCACTGCCCTTCGGACCTTCACGTTCAGAGCTGACAGAGAAGGTAAGTCCGTCTGTCCGTCCGTCCCGGTCTCCGTGAGTTTGATTATTCCAGAGACTCCTGGAGGAAATGACTTCAAATTTGGCACGAACGTCCACTTGGACGTTATATTTTGTGGTTTTCTCCTGTGTTTTGCAGCCACCTATCAGCTACTCACTCTGTTCCGCTGGTTAGTCTGTATTTGTCGCTCTAACTGATTCCCTGTCTAGCCTTGTTCTTCTCTCTGTCCTCCCCCTCCCTTTCCATTTGTCTCTCTTGTCTCCCATTCTTGCCTCACTCCTCTCTAAATGTGGTCATCTTCTGCCTCCCCCTTTCCTGCCTCTCTTCCTCTGCATGCCGTCTAAATCATTTTGCCAGGTACCCGCATGTAAATAAATAGTTCTACATTTTGCCTTCTTTCAGAGTGAGACATGGGAAGATCAGTGACAAGTCTCTTCAAGTTGGGGTATTTAGCCTAGCTTAGCATAAAAACTGGATGTAAACTGAAATGGCTTACCTTGATCTGTTCAAATAATAATACAAAAAGAAATACAGCTTCTAAACTCTTGAAAGATCACTTTTTAATATTTAGTATTTTGAAAGACTGGCTACTTGTTTCACCCGGTTTCTAGTCTTTATGCTAAGCTAGGCTAAAGATGTCCTGACTCCACCTCCTTACCTAACAAACACAGATGTGAGATTGATATTCATCTTCTCGGTTCACTGTCGGAATGAAAGCAATTAAGCATATTTCTCGAAGTATTTTTTCAGAACAGTCTCTCTTAAACGCTCTCTGAATATTATGCTATTTAAATGACGCTTCGGGAGATCTTGGTGGCAGTAATGACTTAATGTCCCTGTCTGGACCTATGTTATTAAGATACTCTAAAGGGACAGACTCTATAAAAAAAAAAAAATTAACAAACTCTCAAATCTCCCAGGAAACGTCCTTTTTAATAGTCTCTCTCCATCCCTCTGCCAGACAAAACGGAGGAAGCTTTGTCTGCGTCTGCCTTAATGAGCGCTTTTCCAGCTCCTTACCTCTTGCTTGATGGCGGTCTATGAGGCCGCTCGGGGTCAAACCGCTCACTCACTAAACGGGGGTCCGTCTCCGGGGTCACGCGTTGGCCGCCCTTCGATTTGTGCGGATGACTGAGATGGAAGAAAGTGAGTCTCGCACGGTTATGAACCTTTTGACTCATAACGTGGAACTGAAAGATCTTCAGAGACCGATGAGAACTTATTGACGTATCGACGTCCGCTGTGCGACAAATAGAAATATCAATATTTGAGATATTACTCATTGATATTGAGCGTCCGCTGTTGTAGTTTTTGATAAGTTCAACTGGTCGTTTATTGCTCGGGACTCATTTAGAATTATGTATCACGGTAAAGTAGCTTCTAATGCGTCGGGCCGGATGTAGGGCGAAGGGTGGAAAGTTGTTCTTGTTCTATTTTTGAGGATATCAGAATAGTTTTTGAAGTCTGTACCTGATTTATTTTGTGGGTCTGATATTAGAATATGCAGCAGTGAAAATCTTGACTCCGTTGACTCCATATTGGTCTGCAGCACTTTAAAGTACTCACACGGCACCTTATACTACTGTATTAAAACACGAGGGGAAACCATATCATCTCTGAACTAGTGTTCTTCTCATGCAGTTTTGTATCTCCTTCGGTTTATAGAAAAAAAAAAGAAGCAATACAGTCGACAAACCTGCCCTTTTAAACTTTGTTTTTTCATCTATTTTCACCACACCGAGCACCAGCGACTCTTCCTTCTCACCCTGTCGATTCAGCGCAGCATCATATCGATATCTGCCAGCCTTTTTTTTTGTCCGTTTTATGAGTTGCGGGTCCTCAGCGGCGTCATTTATCACGCTGTCAGCCAGCTGATCGTCATACGTCACACTCAGCCGTCCTGACAAGCGCTCGGAGGGGAGACGGGGGGGTGGCTGTCTTATTCGGAGGTGGCCTCTGACCGCCCGGGATCAGTGGGAAGCCTCTCGCAGAGGTGGCTGCTGCCGTCAGAAGAAAGGGTTGAGAGAGAGAGAGGGGGAGGATTAAACCTGGCCTCATCCCCTCATGCATCTTTAAACAGGCCCATTCGCCTCGTGGCGGAGAGTCATCAATCTTTGGGGGAAACGCATGAGAAAGAGGGAGACACGAGGAGACAGAGGGAAAGAGAAGGAGTAGGTTAGTGAAGTGGAGGTATGGGGCTGCTGGTGCTGATGCAGTAGGGGTGAGAGGGGAGGGGGGGAATGATGGTGGAGTGATGGTGAGAGGAGTGTGCGCGAGAGTGTAAAGGCATCCAGGAGGGGGAAAGTGGAAGATGAGGATTGGCGGGGGGACAAGGGAAAGGAAGCGATTAAATGAGGGAATAACAGAAATGGACCAAGCGAAAGGGAGGCAGACACGCAATATCGGTGCGAAGAAGCAACAGAGAGGTAAAGGCAGAGTGAAGATGGAGAGAGGAGGAGGAGGGGAGAAGCGAGTGAATAATTGAAGGCCACCGGAGAGAGTGTGCACACAGCTGTCGGCCGATTCTCCATCTCGGTCCGCAGGTGGCCTCTTCCCTCAGGTACTGTCAGCTCGCGATATAGGAGAGATAGAAGGAGAGAAGGAAGGCAGGCAAGAGAAAGGGCAGAAAAGAGGGGGGGGGGGGGGAAGAAAGCGAGAGGAAAGTAGAGTTTGGCAGGAAGAGACACGGTGGAGAGTGATGGAAAACGGTCGGGACAAGAAAGGGGGTGGGGTGTTGGAGAGGGGATGCAGACAAATGTGCTACAAGAGAGAAGATGGGATTTATGGTGTAAAGAAATGTTGATGATTTGTATTCTGATGCTTTGGCAATTGCCTTTCCACAAAGCCCGCTCCGAACACATGTTAGTTTTGTTCGAGATGACAGGGGAAGGGGGGGAAGGGGGGGGGGGGGGGGGGGGGGGGGGGGGGAATGAGAGAGATGTGGAGAATAAGTAGAGATAACAATAAAATGGTCGGGAACAGGCCAGAGGGAAGAGGGAGGATGATGGAAGAAAAATAAGCTCAGGAGGACACGGAGTGGGTGTAAAGTTGTATTAACTCGCAGTACATATTTCACTCTGGCGTTGTACTTCCCAGTGGCAGCTTTTAACATTCAACAACGTTTGATATCAGCTCCGTAGCTGGTGTTGAGCATATACAGTCATCATTAAAGAATTCTGGACTGTGTAATATGATGAGGAATTTAATTTGTCTTTGGGATTTCTGTCAACCACTTGTTACTTATTAACTGACTTATATGCAGATACCAACATTGTCACATGTCGATGCATCGGCCAGGCTCAAAATATGACTCGTATGTAAACATTTCGTTCTGTGTTGCATGTTGGGGTGAGAGGATTGAAATGACGGAAAATAAAGGAAATCTCAATCCCTCCGCATTGGCTTTTCCCTTTTTTTAAAAATAATTTCCTTCTTCCCTTTGATGGAGACTGCGTGGGAGGCTAAGATCTCTGTTGAGCGCTAAGTGGACCTGGCTCTCATCTCATCCACTTCTCAATGAGGATTATCTGCCTCTCTCTCTCTATGTAAAGTGGACTCGTCTTTCAAACACTCGGCTATACATTTATCCGTAACAAGCGCCGGGCGCTGGATGTGGCTGTTGGGTCGCGGTTCACTCTTTCAATATGCCTGCAGACGGAGGTGAGGGCATGTTTTGCAGACTGAGTGAAAATCATTTTGGCAAGCACGACCGGAGGTTCATGTGCGAGACCTTGTGCGCAAACAAACAAAAAAACCCAACATCACTCAATCATATGCAAGACACATTCGGACGCACACGTGCTAAAAAACACGTCTCCTCGGCTTCACTCGAGTTTTTTCTCTCAATCCTCCCACCTTCCGTCCTCGCTCCGGCTCTCCCGCACCACTCGGGATTGAGAGAGAGAGAGAGAGAGAGAGAGAGAGAGAGAGAGAGAGAGAGAGACCCTGAATAAATGAACAGGCAAATAAGTGAGCGCAGGACAGGTAATGGAACTCAGAAAAGCAAGGGTGGGAATGGAACACTAAAGCCTAGTGATGTAAAGAGCAGTCAATAATGGATTAGGCCATTCAATATTGATACCAGCTCTTTGTAAATTCATAAGAATGGGGGGGGGGGGGGGAAGCCGGACCAGAGGTGAGTTCAGAACCAGGCGACGGATACAGTATTTGGGAGCTCGGGAGGGTAGTGTGTGTGTGTGTGTTTTGTGCGTAAGTGCCAGATACTCAGAGAGGAGAAACTTTTCTTCAGATGTTCACGGTTATGTTTCGCATCCTCGTTTGAAGACGGGCACATGTGCGCAAGGGTCGCCGAGGTCAGCAGGTCGCAAAGTCGAGAAGTTAATTAAGGTCAATTTAGGGCGACGTGAGGTTGACAGTGGCCACGAGATGATTGACAGGTCCCTGAGAAAGCCCCCCCCCTTCCTCTGTCACTCAGCAGGAGGAGAGTGATTCAAGGACACACCAGCAGGTCACTCTGAGGGGAATGCACGCTCACTGTCGGCTCTGTCGAACTAGAAAGGAAGAAAAAAAAAGTCTATCCAAGATAGACTCGAGGATAATTGGACCGGATCCAAAATGCAGTCAACTCGAATGGAGAGATAGCGGCAACACTAAAAGCAGCACGATGAGCCACGCATTAGCGAAAACTAAAGTCTTGAATTATGTATTGGATATGATTTGGGCCTCGCACAACTCTGGATCTTGGTTGCCGGTGACCAAGTGGACCGATGGACAATAAAAACAACTCTTCTCTCTGTTCTTCAGCAGTATCATTTGTTGACTTCCTACACATATTTCCACATGCTTCATTAACTCGCACGGCTAATAGATTTTGGGCGACGTGTTGATAAAATACAAGGGGGCCGTTGGGAAATTAAGTTTGGGGAACATTCATGACGTCCTCTATCCTGTTGTTTGATCAGATTGATGGGTATCCAAAAATACATTTTCTGTAAAAAAGGGGGTTGTGATGCCTCCGTGTGACCAAACAAATGCTCACTGTTGTTCTGAGCGCATCACTTTGTCACTTTTTGTGTTTCAGAAGAGGGTCTGCCATTCTGTCTTCTGAGTGTTCAAGCCGAAAAAAAGCTTTCGACTTTTAGAGAAAAAGGGTGTCTTGTTGCCTTTTCTTAAATTGTCCAGTCCATCCCAATTGCTTAGTTTTAATAACAGTAAATTTATTTTTCTCCTCCTTTTTTGTTGTCCTTGTTCTTGTATTGAACAGTTACCACAGTGGGCGCTGCTCTGGACCTGTGATATCTGAGTGTGTGTGTGTTTACAATCCTTTTTGGTATCTCTTGTCTTTCCACTTTGCCGGCTTTGATAGCGCGACGTCTCGGGCGGTAGGGGAATGGGCTCCGCAGCGTCGGTTTCATGTCGTCTTTCATGTCCATTTGGAAAAACAAAGTTGCAGAGGAAGATATCTGAGAGGCCTTTTTTTTTCGAGTGTACATCGTTTGAATGTAAACCCCGGACGATACGTGATGCATCGCCTTGTATGCTTGAGCCGCTCGGCTGTGAGGTAATCCAGGGTAATTCACAGTAAGTCAGAGAGTCGGTGTCGTGTTCAAGGACAAATGGTTTTTGAAGACACTGAATGTGGCCGTTTGTGAACCTCAAATCAAATCTTAGCAACTGTGTCCAGGCACTGCAGGCCTGTCGAGCTTTGGAGCTACAGTAGAAATACTAAACTGTATACAAACAGTTCGGATGATGGTGTCTTGTTTTACTTTTTTTTTTAGCCTTTCCAAAACCAATAACATGGAGCAGAAGTGTAAGGAATGCGCGTTAGTCCGCTCTGATGTAAGCCGCCAACATTAGCATGTACGGCTAACTAGCATTATACGCTAGGAACCTAGCGTTACTTCCAAGGTCATTAAACTTCCCAAAATAAGATTTAGGGTTTGCAGGTTACTCTGATCTTTCATTTTTCTTTATCATAATTTAGTACTAGGACTGACCAGCTCTACACTACAACGGCTTCTTTAGTCCTTTACATGAATCATCACTTTGTGCCTTCAACAGTTTAGCTTAGCCTCAACATGTTTACGTGCTATCATGCATGAAGCCCTCATGTGCCTATTCAGGATTCCTTTTAAAAAAGGTTCGGTTGTAAGTCAACAGGAAATATTAAAAAGTCAGATCGCAGTGTTTTCAACCAACACACACAGCTGACTTGCTAGCTCCGTGCATTCCAAAATGCATTTCTGTGACTTCGCTGCGTTGTTTTCCAGGTTGAGACACACGAGTGGATCCGCAGAACCGCGGCAGCATCTCATTAGAAGCTATATATTTTTTTTAATTATACATTTTAATTAGGTGGCGTTTGACTCAAATTACCCCGGCCACATCTCGCTCGAGGCTTGCCAATCTCACAGTCCCCGCTATCTCTATTGCACGTGCTAGAATTTCCACTTTTCCGCTTTGCATGATGTTCTTTTTCCCCAGTTCATTTACACCAATAGCAGCTCATCCCGTGTTTCAATTCCTTTTTCTTTTAGACTTTTCTCTTATCAGTATGCAACGGATGTTTAGTAGCCAACAAGCCAGTGTTACTCACAAAAGGGATGTAAAAGTGATGAATTAACACCGCGATTCAAAGACTTTAAGATGCCCTGATCTCTCGTTGTCTTGTTCTCCTTCTGGCTTTTCGTGTTTTCTTTTCTCTCTCTTTTGCGCTCTCACACCTCTCTTCTTCTCGTCTGTCTCTCACTCATGCACGTGTCCACAGGGGAGCGCCAGGAGTGGATGGAAACTCTTCAGACGGCCACGCGCCCCCCCGCCTGCGGCGCCCAGAAGCGCTCCGACAGCCTCCCCCGCCCCTCCTCCACAAACAAGCGAGGCTCGCTGGAGCTCCGCGGTTACAAAGGCAGAGTGCTGGTGTCCCTGGCGGGGAGTAAAGTCAGGCTCTGCAAAACAGAACAGGTACATTCCAACACCGCCGGGACTTCCTCTCTACAGAATGACAGCTTCCTGTTTGAAAAAAAAAAAAGGAGGATAATAATCACAGAACATTTGAGGCACGTGTAGCGATGGGGGGATGTTCATGAATGTGTAATGCAAAAAGTAAATATATATATGTGTGAAAATGCTTAAGGGTCCTGGGATATATTGTGCTCTATTTTTGGCGGGAACAAGCCCATGCTAGCGCAGAGGAATGACTGGGTGTGGCCAACTCACCTCATCTTGAAAATATGAAGCTCCTTTCATTGGCCGGATTTAGACTTTGGACATGGGAGAGAGGGGAATAAATTGACTGTTCCCCGGTGGCCAACTTTATGTGTGCAGGGTGGGAATTTTTAGTAGAGGCTTCTCTCCAAGACAAGTGATGGTATAATGATCATTTTTAGGTCCTTATCCTTTGGGTTGATATTGTGCTTTAGTGGGGGGTATTCCTAATTACATTTAATAGTGCAGTCGATGCTAGGCAGGCAGTAGACTGCCCCAGCACTTTTTTGCTTTTAGGGCCAAGTTGCCCTTTGTTCATTACGTTATTAATTTACAAATTGCTTGTTGTTTTTTTAACAGGGTAACTAGTAATCTGTAATCCATAACATTTCAAATCAAGCTTACAACACTGTTTACTGCATTTGTTCACCAAAGTTATATAACTTACATCTCCTTTTAGCTGCAGAATGAAGAACGGATGAGTTTTCACTTTTTCAAAGTTTCTCTTATTTGAGTCCAATTAAAGCCCCGATAGTCCCGGCTCATGTACTGAGACTCTGTTCTCGTGCCTGCTCCTGTCCCGGCAGCAAGACATCCTCTCTGAGATCGCAAGATATCTCAAAACGCAGTGGTACCATTTCATAAAGTGCCTTCCACATATTTGATAATGCTCCACACACGCTCTTACTCATCGCCATTCCTCCCTGGCTCTCATTTCGTTTCGCTCTATCTTTTTTGGTTTTTGTTGTTTGCCTTTCATTATTTTCCTCATTAGCGTGAACAAACATCTTTGTAAGAATTCTCTTTTGGGTGTCACTCCATGTCAGCACATTTCCACTCGCTTGAGCTGAGACAGCGGGAGAAACGGTGAGTGAAGACGAGAATCAGAGAGAGGACAAATTAATTGCATTATTCCAGTTTACAAGCTAAATCCCCAGCATAAATGCAGCAGCAGCAGCGCCGGCGGTGTGTGTAGATATATTTTATTTTTTTGCAGGGAGAGAGGGGAAGGGAGGCGGCGATTGAAAGACAAGAGAAGAAGAGACAGAAACAAAGAGATAGTCGTCGAAAGATGAAGTGAAAAGGGTGGAGGTGCAGAGGTCACATGAGTTGAGGGATGAGCGTCGGTGGTTTGTGAGGGGGGAAAAAAGGAGAGAGTGATGGGAGAGCGAGAGCACGGGGAGGGAGGCAGACCGTTGCCACGTTCAAGTTCACTGGAGTGGAGTATTTAATCTAACATGATGAACGAGCTATTGGAAACATCATCCTCCCCGCTCCTCCCTCACCACCCCTACCCCATTCCTCACGGGCCGTAAGCCCCGTGATGAAGCTGTGTTTAAGGTCATTTTAACACCAAGGTAAAGAAAGTCACACGCGTGATTACTCGCACACGGCCTGCATAGGCAGATCGGTGCCACCAGAGCAACTTGTTTCATGTCTTATCCCATCATGCATCACGGGTACGTTCACTCCGGTAGACGAGGGATCGATTGATCGCCGGGTGTTCATATTTCTTCCAGTCGGCGTCCCACTACAGCTCGGTTGAACCCAAAACAAACTTGTAAGAGAATCTTTTTCCCCCTCTCCCTTTGGTTCCTACTTAACAAAAGTTCCACATGCAGTCGAGCCTCCTCTGGTAACAGAGAGACTGAGGATTTAATTAATCTCCTCTTTAATTAAATCTCTCCCTCATTTGCTCTTCTCAAGATCTTCTTTGTAACAATTAACATCATCCCAAGACTTGCAAGGCCATCTCGTGGAATTTGTGACACGAGAGTGAGTCTCATTTCACCGAGGCCTTCCTCTCGTAATGAGCTCGGGTTTTCTTTTCGCACACCTGATACAACTGAAAGATAATCACCTCATTTTAAACACCACTCGCTTTACTCTTGTACGTGGCGAGTGCTGTGTCACTTGTGAATGTTGGTGCGATATATTTTTTTTTACACTGGCTGAAATATTAAACTCTGAATTTAAAGTAAACTGTAAGTGCATTCGTCACTTGCTTCTTTCTGTTTCCTCCTTACATTCAACCTTATTGTTTGTCGTCTTCCACTTTTTATCCTTTTATCATCATCCGTAGCTCTTTCGCTTTCCTTGACCTCCGTCTCACTGTTTGATGTTTTAAAATAATCAAAAAGTCTTTAGTCTCCATTGAGCATGTGCGATGCACCCAGCCTCTCTGCGAGGCGATGTCGGCCTGCATGCTTTTAGAGCATCTTAAGCGGTTGAGTGGATCTGGAATTGGAGATGGACATCGAGGTCGCCTTTACTTGTCTGGCTTCTTTCAGAGCAGCGCGGCACCGTGGACTGACTCGAGTCGCACGACGAGAGGTTGGAGAAAAGTTGAAAGGAATTATATTTGGATGCAAGACCGGAGTAGTCGGAGTAGGCCTTTGCTCAGCACCTAGCAGGTTAAGGTTATTGACTTAGGGTGCAAGAGTTTCCCTTCCACACCTAGTTTTCTAGATTTGAGTTGATGGATCCCTCCTTTCTCAGAAACGTGTAGTATATTATGACACATGCACAAAACCCATGCATGCGTTCGAACATTCCCCCTTCCGGGCCTTTGCCCCCTCTCTTTCCCCCACATAAGCGCCGTTATTGCCACCGATACCTCTCGGCTGTTGTAATTGGCCGACTTATTTTTACCCCTAATGCCTGCCCTTTCCTCACTCCGTCCCTCCTTTCCTTCCATCCTTGGTGAATTAATTGGAGAGGGTAGGAGGCCACGGCACATATTGGGTAGGTAACGAGTGGTGAGGGCTGGACAGCCGCTAACACCCTGCGCTCTAATTGGCTGCCTGAGAGGGTTGAGGGTCATTAGGTATAGGTGACTGCTTTGCCCTCTCAGCACAGCATTTCAGCACATACAGCACAGACCTCCATACATCCTGCCAGCGTGAAAACGGAACATTTATACAGTGATACACGGAAGCCTTTTATTCTCTACGTGTTTTTAAAATTACAGCCACGCTTTGCTTTGAGCCACTCGGCGTGTAGCAATAATGCGCTCTGAATTGCCTTGAAACTCTCTCATTAGAGGCGTCACGCGTCTTCAAACCTCGGGAATGTACGGAATTTAAAAGAGCAACGGCGTGTGCGTAGTTCTAATTGATAGGACGGAGAAGGCGAGTTTCCCCTGCTGCCTCCGAGCCCCTCACATCAAAACTTTTAGCTCAATTAAGGACCTGGCTGTAAAGTGAATTCACTCGTCTCGCTCCTCTCTTCTTTATCTCTCGCCGTCTATCTCTTACGTGAGCTTACGTCCCCCACCAGCCTGTCGACGTGTTTCCGTATTCGCTGCGTCTCAATATCCTTGTGCAGAAAGTGTGAGAAAAAAAGGAGAATAATTGCTTGAATTTTGTCCACCGCAGTCCTCTGAATTAGTTTGAAGGAGTTGTAATTGGGGCTAACGATGGTCAAATGAAGGTTTTTGACAACATTAGCCTCAATTGAACCAACCGAAGGATCCGGTTAGGGAATCCTGCGCTCGCCAATATTCCAGTGACTTCCTCCTCGTGTTGCAATCTGCACAATTTGGCTACACTGAGAAGTTTGTCGCTAATTAGTTGAAGAATTCTGCAAGAAACATGCCCTTCACCCCCGTTACCACCCATTACACCCCCCCACACCCCCC